GATGGCCTTGAGGAAACCGCGACTAAAACCGGCGCAGCACCACCGGAGACGCACAACATCATGGGGAGGAGCCGAGCGGTCAAGGGTGACCACTGGCCAAGTACCGGTGCCACTGAGGAAGGTGAATCGATGGTGGATTGGAGGTGTGGCACCGGCGAGAAGGGGATTTAAGGTTTCGGCGAGAAGGGGGTTTTTTTCGTTAATAGTATTGATGTTGTTGTTATTATTACTAGTATTCGTCCCTGTGCACACGCACAGAGACAAATATAAATTTATATATTATATGCATACGTGCAATATTTATTATTTTAAATTAGATAATGAATGTATTACAATTTAAATTTTTTTACTATATATAGATATACGATATAAATATAAATTATTTAACTTGCGTTTGATCTTTATATTGATGACATGAATTTTAGTGGACAATGTAGTTTTGTAATTTAGAGGGACCATACAATTAATTAGTTAGAAAAGCATTACAATTATTTTTATTATCAATATAATAATTATTTATGTAATTTTAAGGAGTTTTAATTATGACACTCATGTCAATTAACTAATATTAGAGAAAAATCGCTTGATAAAATGAAAAAATATTTTTATTGTAGAATAAGTATTTTAAAGAAAAAAAAAATTGCAATACAATTTTTTATAAGTATGTAACTTTCACATACTATTTAATGTAAATTTATAATTAGTTAGTATCAGTAGTAATTATTACATAATGAATTAGTAATGGACAATGTAATTTTGTAATTTAGAGGGACCATACAATTAATTAGTCAGGAAAGTATTACAATTATTTTTATCATTATTATAATAATTATTTATGTAATTTTAAGGTGTTTAATTTATGACACTCATGTCAGTTAACTAATATTAGAGAAAATCACTAGATAAAACGAAAAAATAATATTTATTGTAGAATAAGTATCTTAAAGAAAAGAATTGTAATACAATTTTTTATAAGTATGTAACTTTCACATACTATTTAATGTAAATTTATAATTAGTTAGTATTAGTAGTAATTATTACATAATGAATTAATTTAAATTATTATTACACTTTATTAATGAATAATGTAACTGTTTTACATTACTTGAAAAAAAAAAAGCGGAAAACCTATAGAGGTTTTATTTATTGTTCTGCCAGCAATTATATATTTATAGATTATTAATACATTAATCTAAAAATTGGGATGAGAATGGTGCTCGAAAATTGTTACAATTTATTATTATTATTTTGTAATAGAATGGTGCTCAGAAGTTGGGATGAGAATTGGGTGTGAAATACCAAAAAAAATTGCCTGCTAAGTATAGATTCTGGAGTAAAAAATGCCGAAGGACCCTTTCCACACGCGCCTCGAGCCTGGATTCGAGACCCGACGAGGCCCAGCTCGCGCCCTGGCGACCAGGCGCTCGCGGGCGAACCCCCACTTGCGCCCTGGTGACCGCGCGCTCGCGGGTGACCCCTAGTCAAGACCTTGTGAGCGCTCACTAGCGCGTGAAACCCGTCCTACAACCCAGTGCTTGCGAGCTCGGGAAATCGCCTGGACCAGCACGCGCCTGGCAGTCCTTCTGCGCCAATGCACCCGCGACCCCTCGAGCCCAGCTTGCGCTCGAGCTGCCATTCGCATGACAACGAGACCTGCCTTGCGCACCAATGTCATTCCGCGACCCGGCGAGTATCCCAGGGCCAGCTGGTGCCTGTCATCTTCCCCAGGACGCCGACCGCCACCCTCTCCGATCAACTTTTTCCGATCATGAAAATTTTAACATCGACGCGTAGCTCTCCTCAACGTCGACAACATATCCGAATTTCTAGCCAAAATTCCAGCGAGAAGACCTCCGATTTTTAGGTCAAAATTTCTAGATCTACAAATTTCACCGGTCTTCTTTTTCATTTTTCTGACGACTCACGGAGACCCACAAAAATCCAAGGACACCTACGGAATCCTCTCGTCGAGGCTCTCTTGATGCCGGCAACCTTTGCCGGATCTGGCAAACTTTTTCAGCGAGCTATTTTCCGCACTCACCGAGCCCTCGGTTCACTGTCTTCTACCATTTTTTTAGCAAACCTTCATGGATTCCTCATGGAAGGTTCATTTTATGGCAACCGGAGCGTCGAGCCATGCTTATCTCTCTTTTCCCACATTCCGGTACCATATTTTCCGACGAGCTTCAAGGTAACATTTATCGTATGACTTTTCTTGTCATTGGTGGTTTAGGATGATGTGGAATACTGCTCATGCCGGAGTAGTGGTCTTGGTGGATCGAATTGATTGATTGAGGTGCTTCATCGATTATGTTGAGTACGTCTTGCCGGACGTGCCAGTTTTTTGTTGAAAGTGGTCACCGGAGTTGCCCGAGGTTTTGAATCTTTGTTAAGGAAAGTGTCGGACATATTTTATCGAGGAGGCCGTTGATTGAAGAGTTGGTCGTGACAAGGCTTATGGGGCGTATCATTGAAGGACTCGAGGCTGATTTTTGAGCTTGCAAGCATACTTGTGTCTTCGTCAAGTTTTTGTGGATTCACGATTATCATCCCTCCGAGACGCAAACATGTGGCCCTTACTCGGAGCCGAGGGATGGGATTCTTGACTTCTCTTATGCTTTCAAACGTCAAAGTGCCGGGATTGTTGGGATCTGTGAGGATCTCGTTATTTACAAGTCACAAATTCAATAGCAAACGTAAACCTATGCGCAGCTGATCTAAAGGTTTGACGTAGAGAACTTACGGCTTAAAATTTATGTAGATCTGGTTGACCACGAATGGTTGAATGCAATTGATCAACCGCAAATCAAGTCTTGGGTTGCACGAACAAGATCAGATCAAAATTGGATCAAACAGATGCAAACAAATCAAAACGAAACTTTGCAGCCTGGGAGCTTCCGACGGCGCGTGAGGGCGCGTGTGACGTCGGATTCCGGCGATATCGGTGGCTATGGAAAGCTCTCGTCGAGACGGTCGTCTGAGTATGCTATATGTCTCAATCGGACATCCGGTTAGTTCTGTAGGTCAAAATATATTTCGTCTCGGTTTATCTACAGATCTTCGAATGTATTACTCAATACACCCTTCTTCAACTTGTACCAGTGGAGCAACAAGAAGAAGATAAAGCTCAAATGAGATCTAGAGAGAGAGAGAGGCGTGTGAGACGTGTATCTCGAGTGAATGAGACTTCTGTTCTCTTCTCATTAGCTTAACAATGTATATATAGAGCTACAGTAGGGACCCTTAGGAGATTAGAAAAAAGGCTCCTTAATTAATTAGACTAACTGTGGGTCAAACCCACTCCTCTAATTAATTAAATAATATTAATGGGCCACCAACATTATATTATTGCACTCCCTTTCCCTAGCCCAAATACATTTAATACTCCAATAATAATTACTCGATTTACCTCCCCACGTTTAAGATATAATGTCCATTAATTAATTCGATTACTGACAATCAAGAATTAATTAATTTATTATTATTTCACCGAAGCTAGCGCTCGTCCATCACATTCTTATTATGCCGGAACTTAATCCACCTGCAGGGTTTAGCATAACAATCCTTCATGAACTCACTCCGGGGACATCATCAAACTAACGCACATGGTGACCGTAAATATCCTAACAGCACATCCTATATATAATAATATTAACCAAAACAGTTGGAATATTAATCCAGCGAACTGAACCTCACCCATGTGAATCAAAGTAATATATATTATATATATATCTGTCTATTTAATATCTTACGGGTTAAGAGAACGCAGTAATTAACCGAGGCCTAGTTCATTTACGACGATCAGTATAAAATGAACTTCTCCTCTCTGGGATCCTGTTCAATACATAAATGTACTAGTGCAACTAATCAGTCAAGACAAACTGTACAGTTGACACTACAACCGTTTGGATGGGGTGTTCATGTCCATCTAGGTTGTGAACAACTATTCTTGTTCGCAAGTGACTGATATAGTGATCTTCGGTTCGTCCGATGACAACCCACCCTATCTAAATGCAGAACAACAGAACGTAGAACTTTTTTCATCTAACATGATTCTCATTCATAAAGGGTAAATGTGTAATAACAAGCAAGGTCAAGCTTTCAGTATATAACACTAACAATCTTCCACTTATACTTAAAGCTTTCGCTTTTACAGTATAGTCCTATCAATCCGTTATTCTAAAAGACCTATGTCGATCCTATTGCCATGCTCATGACTCCCATTCATTTCACGTGTTTGACGAAGACCTTTCCCGACAAACTCTTCGTGAAAGGATCAGCTAGGTTGTCCTCTGACGCAATCTTGACAACATCAACGTCTCATCTACCAACGATATCCCGAATCAGATGGTATTTGCGCTCTATGTGTTTGCTTGACCTGTGGGCTCGAGGTTCTTTTGAGTTCGCTACTGCTCCACTATTATCACAGTACACAGTGATACCATGTGTTAAACTCGATATAACCTCTAAGTCCACTAAGAAGTTCCTGAGCCAAACTGCCTCTTTCGCTGCCTCTGAGGTTGCTATGTACTCGGCTTCCATGGTGGAGTCTGCCACGCATTTCTGCTTAGCACTCCTCCATAAAATGGCTCCACTTCCTAAGGTAAACACATAACCTGAGGTTGACTTACTTTCATCCCTATCTGACTGGAAATCAGAATCACTGTAACCCAGAGGTAACAAGCTGCCTGCACGGTAAACTAACATGTACTCCTTAGTCCTTCTCAGGTACTTGAGTATATGCTTCACCGCATACCAATGTTCCCGTCCCGGATTACTTTGATATCTAGCTACATGCCCACGGCGTAGCTAATATCTGGCCTAGTGCACAGCATTGCATACATAAGACTTCCTACTGCCGAAGCATAAGGAACTGTCTTCATCTCCTCTATCTCCTTAGACGTCTTATGAGACATCTCCTTAGATAGAGGTATTCCATGTCTGAAAGGTAACATACCTTTCTTAGAATCCTGCATGCTGAATCTGGCCAAGACAGTATCTATGTATGAAGACTGGGATAAACACAACATTCTCTTCTTACGGTCTCTAATGAGCCTAAAACCAAGAATGTGTCCTGCTTCACCTAAGTCCTTCATATCAAACTGCTTAGACAACCACACCTTTACGTCTGACAACTCCTTCTTACTGTTTCCAATAAGCAGTATGTCATCTACCTAAAGCACAAGAAACACCACCACGCTCCCACTGATTTTCTTGTAAACACAGTGCTCATCCGGACATTGAGTGAACCCGTACGACTGGATCACCTCATCAAAACGGATGTTCCAAGATCTCGAAGCTTGCTTCAATCCATAAATAGACCAATTGAGCTTGCACACTAGATGCTTACGACTTTCAGCAATGAATCCCTTTGGTTGCTGCATATAGATGTCTTCCTATAGGTTCCCATTAAGGAAAGTTGTCTTGACATCCATCTGTCAGACCTCATAGTCCATATGAGCGACTACAGCCAAGAGAATCCGAATGGACTTAAGCATAGCTACTGGCGAAAAGGTCTCATCATAATCAATACCCTCGATCTGGGTATAACCTTTCACAACAAGCCTAGCTTTAAAGGTTTGTACCTTCTCATCCGATCCTCTCTTTCTCTTATAGATCCACTTACATCCAATGGGTCGTACCCCATCGGGTGGTTCTACAAGATCCCACACCTGATTGGAGTCCATTGACCCTATTTCAGCTTTCATTGCAACATTCCATGAGTCTGCATCTTTATCTTGGAGTGCCTCATCATAAGTTCTTGGGTCCGATTCTAGGCCTCTTGGAACTGAGTCCAATGACTCTCCAAGACCTATCCATCAATCGGGTAAATGAGAAACCCTCCCACTGCGACGAGGCACTGTCTGCACTGGTACACTCTCAGTGTGCCGTGTTGCAGTATTATGTGATGTATCTACTTGTGCACTCGGTGGGAAACCATCGATTTCACCCCTTAACTCCCCTCAGACTAGTCTACTCGCGGGCTTATGATTCATAATATAGTCTTCTTACAAGAATCTAGCGTTCATTGAAACGATCACCTTCTGATCCTCAGGACTATAAAATAATCCACCTTTCATTCCCTAGGGATAGCCTACAAAAACTCGTGCTTCCGAATGTTTCTCCAACTTGCCAGGTTCCTGCACTAACACGTGTGCAGGACTACCCCAAACTCGAAACTGTGAGAAACTGGGCTTGCGCCCTTTCCACATCTCATATGCGGTAGTGTCAATTGACTTCGATGGAACCATGTTCAGAATATACGATGTTGTTTCTAATGCCAAACCCTAGAACGAATCTGGTAACCTCGAATAACTCATCATAGACCTAACCATCTCCATAAGAGTCCTATTTCTTTGCTCTGCAACCCCATTCTGCTGGGGCGTGCCAGGTGCAGTCAGTTGGGATTCAATCCCAGCTTCCGATAAGTATGTCCTGAACTCTCCAAAGAGGTATTCGCCACCTCGATCAGAATGAAATGACTTGATACATTTACCATGAAGCTTCTCCACAACTGCCCGATACTCTTTGAATTTCTCAAAGCATTCGGACTGCGGTGCAACAGATAAACGTACCCAAACCTCGAATAATCATCTATGAAAGACACATAGTACTTGAAACCTCCTCTAGCCTGGATCGACATA